AAATTGGGCCCGTACAGATCCAAAATCGTTTCGGTTATGTTTAAAAGGTTTCTTCCATTCTTTTCGAAATCACAAGTCGTTTTCTGCTTCTTTCAAACCCTAGCTAACAAGTTCTAAACCTTTGTTCATACAGATCTGACATCTTCATCCTTTGGTTACATATTTTCTTTTCATATCTACCTTGTATACCTCTTTGTTTCTCTTCTCAGATTCATAAAATGGTACCAAAGAGAGCAAGGAACTACAGTCCTTCATCCTCTTCTATTCCTTCCTATGTAGCTTCCATGCCTTCACATTCTGCAGGAAAAACACCTTCTACTCTTCATCCATCCTCTGCTGCTTGAGATATTTTCACTAGAAAGTTCTCTCGCAGCCCCATATCTGTTGAGAAAGATGTCTCAATGGAATTGAGAGCCCTATGATCAAGAACGCCTTCTCTTTTCTTCTGGTCTTTCTGTGTTCAATGAAATTGAGAGCAAGGGCCATAAACTGACTTCTCAATACTTCTACTCCAACATGTCAGAGATCTTATACGATCCTCCTTCCTTCAAAACCTATCTTTATGGATCTGTCCTTGAGATTACTCCTGAGTTCTTGGCTGATAAGTTTGGTTTTGAGAGACCTGCTCATGAGTTCAGGGTCTCTCACCCCTTGTGTCTGACACCGGGCATGGATGTTGATCTTATGCATGAGGGGATGTTTCTTCTGTGGAGCAGGAAGTTTCCATTTACTAAGGATATCTCTACGACCAAGATAAGTGCCAGGTGGAGGATCCTTCATAGGATCATGGTGAGCACAGTCTACTGCAAGACTGGTACTTTGGCAGAGATTCAGAAGGATGAGGCTTTCTGGTTGTGGAGAGCAGCTTTGGGAGAGAGGATAGATGTGGCTTTGATAGTCTAGTACAGGATGGCCAATGCTTATGATGGAGCAGTGAACAATGCATTGCCATATGGAGCTCTGATCAAGGAACTGGTCCCTGAGGGTACTCTGAGTAAGACTACAGCCTAGGTGAGTGCACTGGAGGCACTCAGCAAAAAGACATGGAGGGCTATGAAAATTCCAAAGGGACCAGGAGAGCCGGATTTCGAGGATTGAGTCCTGGACTACTTGGGCAGGATGGCGGAGGTTGTGCAGATGCAGAACCTGATCATACAGGATATACAAGTGATTATTGCTGCTCAGGGTAGACAGATCCAGCATACAAGCGACTACGTTAGAGACCTGAGGCTGCATCAGTTACCATCCTGGAGGAGGTTGTAGAGGAGGATGAGCCGAGGTTTCCACGGTTCACATGTGTATGATTCAGGACATCCGGGTGGACATCCTGGTGCTGGAGGCTCCGGTGTTTGAGTATTTCTTGGCAGGGTACACACATGGATCGATGATGACCGACCTAATTCTAATTAGGTCCCCCTGTGGAGGTTGTCTAGGTTGAGTCCAGTGTCTTTTCAGTTTTGTTTCTTGTTTAGGTTTACATTTTATGTTTTCTTTTTAGTTGGTGTGTACCTGAAAAACCGGTGATATTTTTTTTATTTTATGGATGGTTTAAGTTTTCTATAGCATGAGATGACTTGTTTTGTCTTTACATATCTTTATATATCACTTGGTATGGATGGATGTACTTATACTTTTGTTTCATGGAAATGTATATGCTGTCCACATCAGTTTGGTTATGCTCCACACACTCATGTTGTTCCTGGATATCTGTAAGTGTTGTGTGTGGCTTGTAAGTATATATCCCAGTTAGCTAACCCTGGATGTTACATGTTTTATCTTATGTTGGTTGAGCTAACTTTCCTTGCAGCATGTTGAAGGTGGTTTGTTCATGTTTGGACATCCCCTGGGATCTTTTTTATGTGTTTGAGCAGGGACCCTTTGTTAACTTTTGACAAAAAGGGGAAGAATGGATATATGAATATAGTTGATCGATGATGGTTGTTTGTTATGTTTCATAAGTGAGGGCTCTTTGCGATCTTATATATATATCTAACCCTAGTATAAGAGTTTGCCTTCGAAGCTTTATCTACAGGCACATACTAAGGGGAAGCTGAAGTTGAGGGGGAGTTGTTGCCTACAAATGACTCATTATTATGTTGTAATGTTATAAACATGTGTTTTGAATATTCATATATGTTTTTGTCACAAGTTCCCAAAGGAGGAGATTGTGAATGTAATATCTTATGAATTGTGACAAAGGGCAAAAAGGTCATTGTACATGTTATATAAGTAATGAGTCCTTGTATTAGGTCTAAGGCTTGGTTGAGTGTCCTTGTAAAATTTCGGAGCTGAAGACATCAAGACAGGACGCGATCGGTAACAACCGGGATCGACATCAAGGCAGTGCACATTTGTGAGTCAGTCGACTGACCAAAGAAGACCATTTGACTTTATATAGTTAGTCGACTGACCCTTTAAGGTATCCCTTACCCTATAAAGTCAGTCGACTGACCTTATGGCATATCTTGATGAGTTTGGTCTTCAGTCGACTGATTAACGGGCTGAAGATGATTTCGGGCCTGATTCGTTTCTGTTTCTTCCGGCCCATTTCTCTAAAGTTGTTTGTTGGTCAACACACTTGGACCAACAGATCTATTTACCTTTAGGGGTATATAAGCAACACTTCAAGCTAAAGAACACAAGGATTTGGTTGATATTTCTAAGACATTCAAGAGGAAAGAACCCTAGCTTGTGAGAGAAAGAAAATTGAGAGAAATCCATCCATTTTCTTCCTTCACTCAAGCAAATCAAGTCTAATCTTTGAAAGTTGAGTGATTTTTATTTATGGGTGTTATTATAAAAACAAAAGAGAGCTTTTCAAGTGATTTCTCATTTGTCCTTTGAGAGGATTGTAGAGAAAAACCCCAATCTTTGTTCTTGGAACAAATTGGTGAAAACCCTAGATTTGCGAATCTAGGTTAGGGTAATTGTGACTAAACCCTACAACAAATCCATGTGGTGGATACTTGGTTAGGAGCTAAGGGAATTGCTCCTACAACTTTGAAGTTTGTAGAACCAACATCATAGGGAAGTGGTGTAGAGTGTTAGGAGGCAAGCCTAAGCTTTGGGTTTTCTTAATACAAAGGAAGTAGATTGAAGAGTGGATGTATGCACTTCTTTGCCGAACCACTATAATCTTGGTGTTGTGGTTTGTTTCTTTGTCTTTAAGATTATCTTCATGCTTTGTTGGTTTGATAGTTTAGATTCTCTACAAGTCATCCTAACAATCTTCTAGTTGGTTGTATTGTTGGAAGAGGAAAGGGTGAGAGTGCCTCTATCTCTACTCACCCCCCTCGTAATCCACAACATCCTAGAACTAGGATTGGGATTTCTTAGTTCAAGGGATTAACTGAGATTTATCTTAATTGAACCTAAGTGAACAAGGACTCAAGGATTGTTTTGTTGTTGATTGTAGAGATTTACAACGATCTTTCTTTGTCTTCCTTTATATGTTGTTTGTTTGTTGGTTATGCATCTTGTTGTTAGATTAGCTTTGGATAGATTTTTTATTCCGCATTTGTGTTATCCTTAGCTTATCTGTTTTTATTTGTTTATCTGTTGGGTGAATCTTTTAACTAGTAGTTTTTAAAAGGAACTATTC